CGACAAGAAATCCTCGCTTCATTTCTTGTCTCTCTGTCTTTCACTCACTCACTCACTCACACGTGTCCCTTCCTCTCTCTCTCTCTCTCCCTCACTGGTTGCGCATGCAGCTGTCCTACAAGTGCCTCGCGTTTCGACAAGTTTTCCGGCCCCGTTAGCAGCAGGCTGCGATACAGAGGCCTAGAAAAGCGCAATTTTTCTCCCACCCATTCAACGCTTCCAATATAACGAGGAACACCTCAGGGTAAAGTATGTTCCCCCCCACCACAACCACTCCACTTGCCTAGCGTTCCTTCAATTGTCTATACCTCTGGTTTATTTCCACCGGAGGCGAGCAATTAAAATCACCCTGTGATGTGGGACAAAGCTTTGGGGGAAGTTCATCAGATGGTATACAACATAGGAACAAACCCTGATACATTTGCCCTACATCCCCCCTGAAGTTTAGCTATACATGTGCTCTCAAAAGCCCCCTGACTACTGTCCAACTATAAGTGCCTTCTCCAACAACTGATCATCTTTGTAGATAGATGTACTCCAGAGTGGTGTGTTAAAACCTCTCTGACAAAGGATCTTGATAAACAAAAAATACATGACAGTTAGTTTTTGGACCTTTGTGGTGGTACAGTGGGATCTCATAATACTTTTCTTGGATAAAATGCGTTTAAGCTAGATTTCAAAAATAGGAGGCCTTTCCTCAGGGAAATTTCTAGCTGTTTCCCCAGAAACATCTGCTAGTGTGATCCCTGTCTGTAAGTTGGTGCAAAAACATTGTCATCATCATGCGTGTTTGCTGATAAGTGCAATAGACGAGACATTTGTTAGCAACAAGCAGAATATGCGGGAAAACTTCAAAGAAAATGCGCCAGTTTATTAATTTGTCACATCAAGCGCTTTGTAACGACGAGAATTTAAATACTGTACTGAACTAGTGTCATGTGTGCCAATATTCGAATCTGCTGGCGTATTCAGTATTTGCGCAACACTTTTAGGAAGCAAAACCTAAAACTATGAAAAAAATCTGCTGAACTTCTCACGAAAAAATTTAAATATATTTAGTCCGCGTACGCAAGTTTGACTGTCTTTGAAGCATTACCTTTTTTAATTGAAATTAAATTTTTACATGTTTTACTGAAGCCATCAGGACCAGCAAAATACTGTAGATTTTTTTAAAACAGAAAATTAGTTATAAAGTACATCATTTAGTGTGGATATCGGACAGGGACCTAAAAGTGACTTCGTTGCAAGCAATCATTTGCTATAACAAAATACTTTGCTCCAAGATTCTACTGTACCACCTACCTACCTAATAAAATAAATGAATTACAGTGCCTGTAAGATGGAGCACAGTATTTGAGAAACTTGGAGCACAGTGGTTGAGAAACTTTGTGCAGACTACTGCACTGTAAATTTGAACCTCAATAAGTTGAACCTCTCAAAGTCAAAAAACCTCCCTAAATATTTTCAAGTCCCAATCTGAATTCCCTTAGAAACAATGCATTAAGAACCTCTCTAATGCAAAATCTTTTCCTCTCAAACCCAGATCAGTCAAATTCTCTTAGACCTTTCAGCTATTATTTTTTTAGCACAGGAAAGAGAAAAGCAAAATAACAGGTAATGATGTGTTTTGAAACAAGGGTGGAGACTAATTGGACAAACAAACCCCTGCCTCTAACTTCAGCATCTGCTGTGAAATCATTTAAGAAGCAGTTTAAGGCCCGAAATGCCACCGCTTAAAATTTTCTGCAAACCTCTTATGTTTCCTACAACAAAAATTGCTTGTTTCCTAAACTCTAAACCTCTGTAAATGGAAACCTTCTCAAGTAAAAATTGTTTCCTGGTCCATTGAAATTCAACCTAGAACGGTTTGACAACATTTCAAATTCACTAAATTGAGAAATGTCTGTCTTTGGTAAGAGAGGTACTGTACTACACTAAACTACAGTATATAGCAGAGGTGGATGTCAACATTTTCTTTCCAGCTTTGACAGCAGTATCCGGTTTTAAGATGCTGGTGCACTCCGAGTAAGTTACAGCACCGTATTCAGCCCTTTGTCTGTCTGTCTTTCTATCTATCTCTCTCTACCTCTATCGCCCTAACCCTCGGCAGTTAGATCTACTGTATAAACTTGCCTCACACCGGGTCTGTCGCGCGTAACGCACGCCGTGCCGTGCAGTGCATGCCGGAGACCACTGGAGCAGGTGCGGGCGAGCTGGGCGCCGCGCTGACCATCTCGCGATCCACTGAGCCGCCGGATGGACGCGCGGGAAACGGACGCCAAGGCGAGCCACGGCGGCGGCGGTGGCTACTGTTGCTGCTGCACAAGCGCACACGGAGAAAGAGGGAGAGAGAGACGCCAGTATTCGGGCTCAGTATAGTCAGGAGCAGTGAGGCCCGACAACTGGGTTACTAGGTGTAGGTTTATATCCGTTGGAGCACAGTCGACGTTTTTCCGCTTTGCAAGTGAATCCAAAGGAAGTTAGATGTCGCTCCATGAGCACCAAGCAATTTTAAAAAACAAATGCGAAAGGGGTACGACTATTTTTATGTGAATTAAGAGACTTTATCAGCTTTTTAATACATAATACTGTGTTTACACATTTGCAACGCGCAATTTTTTTTTAATTATAGGAAAAAGGGGGTGCGTGTGACGGACCGGGGTACTATTCTGAAAAAAAAAACTGGAAGTTTTGGTGCACGAATTTTAGTGACTTGAGTATAATTAATAGGAAATGTTAAGGAATAATTAATAGGAAATGGAAATAATGTTAAAAACAGATTTCTGCATGGTGTTTCGTTTTTTGAAATATTGTAGTTTCAAATTCCCAAAAAATGGAGTGTGAATTTTATTTGGGGATAGAATTTCATCCAAATTTTAGGGTGAAAAATTAGGGTGAGGGTCTTATACATTAGGGCAGGTGGTACTCAAGTGAATACGGTACATGGCTCTCATCATTCTCATGCTGTTGTGGCAATTTTCTGCTCTCCCAAGGAAATTTTATAACAATTCTAAAAGAATTTCCTTCAAGGGATTCTAAGAACTGTTTTTAAGGCCACAATGACTTGTTTGCAACAAGATTCTCTCTTTGTAAATAAAATCTGATTCCCATGAATCTGATTGTTTGAATAACCGATTACTATGAACGAATTTGCATTTTTTGCACCTCCCCAACACTCGGAATGTTACAGAACTTGCTTCTTTACAGCGGTTTTTCATTACAATGGAGCTTATGCCTTTTACTGGTCCCAATGGCCTTTTGTGTAAAAAGATCTTCCGGATCCATTAGCTAAATTATAACGGGTTTCAGGGAAATAATTGAAGCGAAATAATTGTGGCAAGTGATGATACCAACCAACTCACATTAAAATGCTGACAAGTCTTTCTTTATCTTGAAATTTGGCTGCAAATGAAGTAAGTTTCGGCTTTGAAAGCACATGCCTCTATGAGATTCGTCATTTTGAAGATTACACCCAAACATTGTGCGAATGAAGTGAAATATTTCGCAAAAACAACTCACTACTCTTGGAAATTTTCCAATAATGACATGTGTAATTTCCTGTTGACTTCTACACATATCTTTCATCAACGGAGAGAATATCCAAGAATTTCTTCCAGCATTTGCAGGATGAAAACTTTATTTTTGCGCAGCAGAACGCAGATGCTGACCGTTGCAATGTTTATTATTAATACCCCATGGATTCAGGAAAGCGGCAGCTGAAAGACAGTTCATCAGCAGATAATCTGCATATAACACAAGGCTGCAATGGTTGCTATGAATATTTCGAATCAAAATTCCGACAAGAAAATGAAGATTGCCTGCACATCGAAAAAGGCATTTTTCTGCGCCAATGTAGCTGCCACTATGTAGTGCATTATCGAACGTGACAAGCAGAAAATCGCCGGCAGCAGATTTCATCACGATAATCTCAGCATGTTCCAGGGGTTGAAAAATCAAGATAAGTTCGCTTCATTACTCGGACCCTCATGTTCATGGGGTCCGACGAGGATTGACGACGAAGCATCGGGTGTCATCGTGCTTTTGTCACATTCGCATAACCTAAGCGAGCATCGCCATTATTTCCGAATTTATGCGCACATTTTGAGAAGATTCTTCAAGCATCAGAAAATTGGATCTCCTGAAATTCGTTGCTGACCTCGGTTTTTTTTTTCTGGAGAAGAATTCCAAGAAAAAATGCGGCCAAGAGTCATGAATATTTTCAATACGTACATACACCAGATTTATTTCGACTCAGGAGATTTGGTGAAATCTCATAGAAATTTTTCACGAAGTATGATTTTTCAAGAAAACATCAATGATAATTTACAAAGCGGTGTGCAAAATCCAGAAAGATCGTTGTTGAAATTTTCCTCATGCTAATATCCGGACTATCCGAAGTGTTAGCCATCGGAAACTTGAAACTTACTTCTGCAGACACCCGTTTTTGCGCACAACATCTTTTAATCTCTGTGAAGTCAATTTTTTGATCAGAGCGAGCCCAGGTTCATCTTTTTTCCAGGATTTTGCTGCTTTACATTGACAACGCAAAAAAGCCATGTTTTTCCGAACTGGGACATAAAACTACCAAGAATATTTCATAATCGTTCGCTATGCGTTGTCTGCGATTTCTCCAACTGGCAAAAACGACAGCGAAACCTAAAATCAAATTAAATTCAGCTCCCTCCACCCAAGTCTCCGAACTACGAAAATGCAAGATTTGAATAAAAGCCATGAACGACTTCTTGTTCCATTATATTTGCAATCTTCTATCACTCGAAATAAAATTTCTTTTATTTGAATTACATTTTCAAGCATCCACAAAAAGAGATCGGCAAATTTCAATGTGCGAGAAATAATGTAAGAAAATATTCGTGGAATATTAAACTATCTCCTGAAAAAAGCAGGGCAGCAAGCGGGATAAAATTGTGCCACCTCGAAGTATTTTTCAAGATCTCCTTTCGTCTCATGATACTGTACTGCAGATGTTTGTGGTTCGGAAAATGCCCCCAGGCGAGGGTTTTCCAAGAAACTGGATCGAATCAGGAGGCGGTTCGGGGTGGTTCCGGCAAAACCCACCTGAGATTGTTCGGGTGCCCAACCTCATCAGAAAAGCGAGGCATGATGTGAGGGTGGGGAGCAGCTATCGAGTGTAGGGAAGAAAAAGGGTTGCGCTCCGTTGCCAGGCGGAAACCGAGCCAGGGGAGGGAAGCGACCCATTGCGGTCCCGGGCCCCGGATCCAACGGTATCCCACCCACCGGATCCACCTCCCCTGAAAGTCACGCGCACCAGCTGCGAGCAACAGAGGGAGAACCAGAGCAACACGAAAGTTCTTGCATTTTTTTTCTGAAAGTTCTTTCACATTTTTGAAGTTCGTTAATTTTTCTGAAAGTTCAAATTTTTAAAGTTCCTTTGGTTTCTTGTCAAAGTTTCTTCATTTGTTTTGAGTTCTTGCATTTTTTGCCAGCCTTCATATACTGTAGTTTAAAAACTTCCTGCATTTTTTCTGAATATTCTTACATTTATTCTCCACTCAGAGTTTTCCTGACTTCTCAACCCAGGGGCATTTCAGTGACCTTTGGTCAAACTGAAATCCTCCTACATATTGTATGGAAAAATTTCAACTTTGCTGTGAGATGGAAAGCAACCCTCCACTGCCCAAGGGTTAAATCAACAAATTTCGCAGTTTGTGTATCATTTTTTTCAGAGCAGACCCAATATAAATGCAAGTGTTTGGCCCAGAGTGAAAAAAGAATTACTACATCAGAGTTTTATTTTTTGAGACAATTTTATGGGCTTGGTTGATAAAAGGTTCTTGCATCTGTTTTTCATCCTTGGGTGGTAACAGGTTCTTTTGAAATGGATGGCAATGCCAGGATTTTTTGCAGGCATCTGCGTTTTGGTTTGACCAAATTTCACCAAAATGCAGCTTTGGCTGAGTATAGCCAAAGTCGGGAAAATCCAAAAAAAAAAAAATATCACTGTCATGATAATACCCCAATGCGGTGCGCAAAATCCAGGAAGATCGTTGTTGAAATTTTCCTCATGCTAATATCCGGACTATCCGAAGTGTTAGCCATCAGAAACTTAAAACTTATTTCTGCAGACACCCGTATTTGCGCACATCTTTTAATCTCTGTGAAATCAATTTTTTGATCAGAGCGAGCCCAGGTTCATCTTTTTGCAGGATTTGGCAGTAATGCAGAAAAAATGCTCCACAACAGTAATTATTTTCCTTGCATATCTTTCTACAGAAATGCTAAAACAATTTGGGATTTTTTCTAACTTTGGCTCTTCTTTATAAAAAAAATCCCCCTTTTTTCTATGCCTTGGAGCACAAAGTGTTGAGGATAAATTCCGGCACTGCTGCCCAAGGGTTGGGTGATTCTCAAGGTTTTTGTTGCTTTTTATTGGTGTGCAGTAATGTGTTAAATATGAAGACTGCACATAACAGGTACAGGTTCCTGGTGAGTGGGTTTGATTCAAACCATGTAATATACAATGTTTTTTTTCAATTTTTTGAGAGGTAACAAGCATGATTGGATGTAAATTAATGGATTTTGCCAATGGAATGATGTGGACTTTCATTTATCCCAAACATATGCATGCGTAATCGAGGAAAATATGCAACAACTTTCAAAAAAATGAATTAATTTTCAGAAAAAATAAAAAAACTGATACAGTAAGGATTTTTTTTCCTCCGACATTTTCTCCAGGAAGAGACCAAAATATTAGACTTTTTCCCAACTTAGTTGAACAATTTAATTTTTAAAATTTTCTCTGCTCAGAGGAAGAAAAAGTTGCAAGAATACCTTGACTTTCAACATTAAAATCTTAGTTGTTCATTTAATATAAAAAAAACTGAGCAGATTTTGCCTCTCATTATACGGGTACACGGAAATGAGAATTGCCAGGACTTGTTATTGAGCCTCGCCAATTGACGGGGACACCAGCAGCCACCCATACTGTATATAGCGCTGCTGTCGAGGGACGCCCCCGTGGTGCCGCTGTGTCCGTCAGTCTCGATCCTCGGTCTCTCCCCGCCAGCGTGGCAACGTGTGCGAACGCGTTTTTCCGCTGCTGGTCGCCGCAGTGACGCCAACTCAAAAGCTACGGTTCTCGTTGCGGGGCGCCTCGTTCTTCCACCCCGCCCCGTTTCCCTTTGTCTCACACAAGGCGCTTTCTCTCTGGGTCACTGCTCCTCGCCTCTGCTCCCAGGCCCAGACCAGACCCGATCCCTGGGGCAGAGCACCTATTTCGGACCGATCGTGTCGACCGGGTGCTGCTGCAGTTTCCATGATGATGATGATGGGAGTCATGAAAAAAAACTAAGATGCAGTTAGACTTTACCGAGAGTAAAACTAATGACGCCATGCTTCATTGATTGATATGGAAGCCATATCTGCCATTTGTCAGCATTTGCAAGGCTCAAAATGAAATGTTTCCCTATCCCCCCCTTCATATATTTTCTAACACATTCCAGCGTAGTATTAGAATGCAAGAATAATTCAGAATACGGTTGAACCTTAATGAATGAAATCTCCATAAGTTGAATACCTCCTTAAATCAAATTTTTTCAAATCCCTGTCCAAATTCCCTTTGAATCAATGCACCGGCAACTCATACAGAAACAGGCTGAAGACTGTGCTTTAAATAAACTTTTACTGCTGCTTTGTCTTCAATATTGGGGATGGGTGGGTGTATGCAACATACATGTAGGATGTCCAGTTTTATTTTGTGGAGTGTGTTCTCTTTTATTTTTGTCATTTGTTTGTGCTTTGTTTCATGCTTTGAAATTATTGAATGTTTTTGGGGGAGTTGGGTTGGGTGGGGAGGGGGTTTGGATGCAGGAGTTCTGGTTATGCCTTGTGAACGCTGAAAAGCGGCAAATAAAGTCTTCTGTTCATTCATTCATTCAACGCAGGTTGCAATGTGGAGAATGTTTCCTACGGCATGACAGTGTGTGCGGAAAGAAACGCCATTGGCACAGCAATTTGCAGAGGGTTTCGCAAATTCCGCGCCATTGCAGTTTCAGCAGAATTGCTGGGCCAATACGTGCCCCCGTGTGGCGCATGTCGGCAAACAATTGCTGAATTTGATGCAAAAATGCCCGTGTTTCTGGTTCGCTCTGGTGCCAAGACCATCAAAAGGGTCACCATGGAGGATTTGCTTCCAGGTTCCTTTTCCCCAGCCTGGGTTGACCTGACTGAAGTCACACTACAGGAGAAAGATTCCATTGATGCTGCTGCTGATTTTGTCATTGAAAAATAATAATACACTTTATAGTGTATTGTGGAGGAAGGGAAGGATAATTATGCAGAAATAAAGCAACTGGATTTCAATTGTATTCAATTTGGCAACTTATTCTTTCTTTTCTGATTCTCCAGGGAAAGTTTTTAGGAGTTTGGAAATATGTTCTTCAAATATGATTTCACCTCACAATTCCCACAATAAATTATTTGGATTTGCAGCATATAAGTCAAATTGTAATTGTACAGGTTAATGATTGGGTAATTTTTCCTCAAGAGGATAAACTCTCAAAAAATATTGAGCTATAACCTGACAAACACAATCTCTAAAAGCAGCAAAGCAGCTAGATGATGAAAAATTTAGCTTCCAAAATTGAACAGTACTTGCACAAAAATCCAACACTGAAGTTAAAATAGAAAGCAAGTGGTTTGGAGAAAAGTGAATTGGCTCAAGTTGAATTTGGCAAGAAACAGTTTTTAAAAATTTGGAAAAAGATGCTTGAATGCACAGTAGAGCAAGAGACAGATTTTATAAGTTTTTCAGGGCTTCAATTTTTTGGTGAAATATGATTTTAGTGCATTTTATGACAGAAAATTTGGAAACTTAAGGACGGAATGCTAAAAATTTACACTATGACCTGTTTTGCAGAGAATCTGTACATACAATGAAAACATATTCCTCCTTATCAAAACACAAATACCTTCTAAAGTTCCAATTCCACACAAAAAGCAAAATTTCCAGCAAATATATATCTGAGAAGATAAGAGGCATTCACAGTGTGATTATGCTCAGGGTTTCTCTTCAATTTCTGATGATAATTTATCTTTGGAGAAATTGTGGAGAAATTCAAGAAGCTGATAAAGGAAGAATAAAAGAGGTACATCTTTTTTTGTAGAGTATCATTCCAAATCATATTGGCCTCTTCATATTGGCCAATGCAAGATCATTTGAACACATAGAGTGAATTAGCACCTTGTCATTAATTGATTGTCCTCAATTTCTTCCATATTCAATTGTCTGTTGGATCCATAATAAGGAAAGTGCTGATAAGGAAAGTAATTTAATAAGGAAATTAACTTCAGTATAGAAACTTGTCATCAAACGTGCTAGATTTTCTGGTCAGGAGTTATTGACTGCATTACAGTTTACCGTCAAGCATAAAGATGAAATGGTGATTTGTTGCTTAGATTGCTTCTTCAATCAGGCGCTTTTTTAATTTTGAAGCAAGAAGAAATGCAGGGTTGGAAGCAGCAAAATGCATGTATTTTTTTCCTTGGTACCACAAAAACTGAGTAGAAAAATAAACACAAAATGGAGGAAGGAATGAGGTTTCTTTTGAAATTATGGCCATTTGCTATATATGAGCAGTATGACTCAAGTTCTAAGCAAACATCATCACAGGAGGGAAGTCAAAACAGAAATAATTGAGAGAAGAAATAAGAGTGCATTGCTTTTTGTTGGAAGAATTTGCTTCAAGCTCTCAAGAACACTGCTTGCTGACATCATGGCACTTGTCAGGTGTGACTCCAGATTTTGTTTCTCCTCTGCTGAAGCAGTGGGACATTTCTCTGAAAGGAAAAAAAGGAAGTTTTGATTTAGAGAAACACAAATAAGCGTCATATGCAGTATGCTATAAAGAGCATAACCTAATATGTTCTTTCATCTGTAGTGCACATTCAAAATTCATGCGCCAGCGACATCTGGGAATTAAAATCAGAATACAGTATTTCAATAGTCTTTGCACTCTCAACTGAGGGAATACTGTAGTGTAGTATTATAACCTCACTGCATCAAATTTTTAAGGAGGCCACTGCTATATTCGAAGAGCGTAACCTAGCCCAATCATACTTGAGCATCTAAAGATAGATAATTCCTTTCGTCATAGATGTCGCGCAAACTACAGAGCTGAAGCCTTGAAGATATGTACAAATTTCCATACTTACCTCGATCCACAGTTGAACTGGAACATTTCTTCTCTTCCTTCTTTTCCTCACAGGGTTTTTCGGATCCATCTTGGTTTTGTCTGCGACGCTGCTTTTCTGTGCGACTCCGTTCACTCGAAGTGGAGCGACACCTAGGTTTCGCATCTGGGGTTCTCCGATGATCTCTTTCACATGATCTTCGTGGTGTCCCTGATGCGGCTTTCTTAAGCACTGATATTCGGAACTGCTTTCGCTTTATTTTCATTCGGCGGCGGTCGTTTTTACACCTTCTGAAAATAGAAACACGGTGAAATATCGAATTTTCAAATAAGTAAAATTATGAAGCAGTACTGAGGGCAGGGTTCTTCTGAGTCAGCTGTTTCTTTGACACCACTGCGAGTGCATTTACTGGACAAATTTTTGGACAAGCTGCAAGGTGTGTTGAAACAAGGATGCAGATTGGTTTGGTATCGTCCAATAGGAACCCGATGAATGTTCTGAGACATATTTGAATCAAGTCTGGAACCCTTACTTCCATTTTGATGAAGACTGGAAATTCCAAAAAAAATATGTCCGATGAAATCAAAAGCGCAAAATCAGAAAAAAGAGCAAACTTTACCAATGTCTGAAAATATTTTTTGTTTGATGACATGGTGATGCATCAAGTAAAGGTCTAGCGTATGAGCAATGTGACCGTGAAGCAATGCTACAACATAATGGCTCATGCAAATGTTCCATTATGATCCATGAACTATAAAGCCTTCGATAGTTTGATGACATGGTGATGCATCAAGTAAAGGTCTAGCGTATGAGCAATGTGACCGTGAAGCAATGCTACAACATAATGGCTCATGCAAATGTTCCATTATGATCCATGAACTATAAAGCCTTACATAGATTTATCTTCTATGGGACATTGTTGAACATTGTGAAAGTTGAAAATAAAGGAAAAGTATAATTTCCAGGGAATAATGGTATTAAAGCTTAATCAACGCTTTCTTCACTTCTTGAACCCTGTCACACTTTTTGACCTTTGAGTAGGTTTTTATTGGTGTTTTGTCTCTAAAACTGGAAGTCTAGGCATTTTATTCAGTATCAGTGGCTAATCAAAGCAGTTCACCTGACTTTCAAATCTTTTGGGATTGTCTAAGTTGTTATTATTATAGTTTAACATTGATAAGTCCAAACTCCTTTGGTAATTTTTTTTTCAAATCCCTGTATGAATGCCCTTAGAAGCAATACATTAAGAACCACTCCCAAGTCAAATGAATTTCCTTTTGAGCCTCCCTAACTCAATACAGCATTTCTGAGGCCTTTTGGCTTTTATTTTCTTGATACAGGAAAGAAAAAAATCAATAAATAATTTAATTTAATGTTTTCTGAAAGGAAGTGAAAGGGTGATTGGAAAATGAACCCTTGTATCCAAGTCCAGCATCTTTTCAACTTATCTAAGAAGCAATTTAAGGCCCAGAATATTACCAATTAAAATGTCTGTCAATTCTTACATTTTTTCCACAACAAAAATGCTTGTTTTGCTACCTAAAAGAACCCATCTCCAAACCTCCCCATCTTCAAACCTCCTTAAGTCAAATTTTTTCTGGTCCCTTGAAATTTGATTTGAGATTCAACTGTATTATAAAAAAATGAGACACTCAAAAAGTCAGGTTGTACACCTATTCTGTCTCAAAATGAAAAAAAGAGAGTTCACCATTCAAATGGTGAAATTGTTGAAGCATTTTAACATAATCAAATTGAACAAAATATTTGGTTTGCCCAAGAAATTGGATTATCATCAAGAATGTGACTCTAATGCAAAATTTTCTGCACATGCAGCTGTGAACTTTTCCAGATGTCAGATGCCTTCCATTGGGGCCCTTATACTGTAGTCTCTTCTTCATTCAACCCACGTTTTCTGCAAAAAATTATTCCAGTTCCCTCCTTTATACCTTCAGCAAACATCCGGAGGACATGGTTCTTACTTGAAAAGGTCACCTTCATTGCAGATGCTACCTTATGGTGCTTGTATTGCTTGCTGTCAGATGAAGTCTCTCACTCTGAGCTGGATTTCTTGCTACAGTATACACAATCCTCCCTTTCCTGCACATTTCCAGAGGAAAATTCAACAGAATCATGAGAAATCACAGGAAAAATAGTGCTTGACAAATGCCTGTTCATAGAATTACTTTTGAAAATTTTTGTGGGCAAATAATTTACTTGTGTAACTCAAAAATCAGTTTTCAGACAAAATACACAAATTCTTTTAAATTCTTGCTTTAACTTCTAGAAATTCTTACCAAGATATCCAGAAAATATTGTAGAAGATGACCCAAGAACACATGGCATCATTAAGGAAATTTGATACTGCAATTATCTTTCATTTGTGTACAAAAATTTAAAAATGCTTGCACTTGATCATCATAACATTGAAAAGCTATTTTATAATATTCTGATTTAGATTTTCAGTCCACATCCCAGCTGATTAACTGTTTTCTTCAGTCATTTTATGCCACCTCCTTTAAATTGGAATCTAATTCTATATACTGCATCATAATTACTTTAGCAGAGGTGGATTTTGACCCAAAGACCTTTTGAGTATCAACAAATGTTCAAATTTTTAATATTGCCTTGAAGAAAAACCATTTACAGTATGTTTCAATGATGCCTCAAGGGATCTCAAATTTTTTGAGACAAACATTCTGAAGAGCATGAATCAACCAGGATTTTTGGAATGGATCAGATTTGTTTTGTGAGAACCCAGTGAGTTTTATTTATTGCAGGGCAAAGGATGGTGAAAGCACAAAACAAAAAAAGAATGACCTAGGCTTGTGAAAGGTACTGCTGGTATTGCGCATCAGCAGCCTCTCACAAGAGGACATGGAAGAAGTTTTTTCAGCAAATATAGCACCTCATTGAGCCTGGGGCCAAAGAAACAAACCAGGCCATGGCAGCCCTCAGGGGAGCCCTCCAGGAATAACAGCAATGGCGCAGGAGGACATGCAGGTATATAAAATCCCTTGAAGTTCCTCATCCTTATCTTTTTCCTCCATGGCTTTTAATGGGGAGCTCAAGAATATGTAACTAAAACAAAGATAGGTTTACAAGAGCATCAAAGGCACACAGCTGCTGTCCCATTGGACGCCTTGCAGCTATATAGGGGAAAAATTCCATTATACAGTAATGAGAAGCCAGCTGCCTCATTTTCTCAGAAAAGTGGGGAATATTCATCTGGAGACCACATACTTCATACTAATGAGCCCATAGAATCCATTTCTAAAATGTCAAGTAAAAATACAGCAAGTCCACATTATCTAGCATTTTGATAAAAATAAAATACTTTAAAACATTAATACCCATGGCAAGAGATAATGAACACAAGTTTTGAACAACTTGAACAAAATACTGTACTTTGTGTGCTGAATCCACTAAGATTGGATATTTGCAACTTCTATGGTTACCTGAAAGAATTCTGGAACTTCTGCATTTCAACTTTGCAGAAACCTTTACAGTATTAATCTGAATAAGATATATAATCTGGAAATTTAGCTCATGTACACATTGTTGAATGATTTTGGAAACTCCATCACTGATCTAAACATGAGAAATTATTTTCTGAAATTTATCAAAATCATATTATGATGAGCACATATATTTGATTCCATTTTAGAAATATAAATGAAGAATATCAAAAAATTTAATTTGAATGTACAGTATGTCAAATGCTCATTCAAAAGACAAAATGTCAAATAGGGAGACAATTGACTAACTTTTCTAATGTTTCTCAAAGCCAAATCCACAGCATATATTTGCTTTGTTTATGAATGAATGAACAGAACACTTCATTTGCCGCTTTTCAGCGTTCACAAGGTTCAATCAAGATTCCCACAACTAAACCACCTTCCCACCCAACTCAAATCCACTCAATGACTCAATGCTTTGTTTATGTCATCCAAACATTCAACTGCCAAAGGACATGAATGAGTTTTTAAAAATTGTTCAATGCAAATTTTACATTGATTCTGCTGATGGGACAATTAAATGTCTGACCATTCCCATATAAAGCAAAGTATTTAAATAAAAATTTCACAAGTAATGCAAAATAGGACAAAAATGAGCTTTTTTAATTTAGGCAGCAATGTTAACAAATTACAGTGGGCCCCCGACTTACGACGGGCCCATGTTACGTTGGTTTCAACTTACGACGCTTTTTTAAATATTAAAAAACCCCCAACTTACGTCGGAGTTTCATGATACGACAGCTTCTGAGGTTTTTCAGCTCCCTCCCACCAACCATTTTTTTGGCGCCATGCATGCTAACTTGAGTTACGCCTGGATAAATACCTAGCTGTAACTAGAGGGCGTTTCAAAACGCCTATAAGGTATGCATTAACTAAAATCCCAAGTAGGCGTAACGTAGAGAGGTTTGAAATGCGTAGCATTTTTGGCTAGAAATGCATATAAAACGCATTTTAAAATGCCCAAATTATTTGCTGGATTGTTTATGTCATCCAAACGTTCAACTGCCAAAGGACATGAATGAGCTTTTAAAAATTGTTCAATGCAAATTTTACATTGATTCTGCTGATGGGACAATTAAATGTCTGACCATTCCCATATAAAGCAAAGTATTTAAATTAAAATTTCTAAACAATGCAAAATTGGACAAAAATGAGTTTTTGAAAATTTAAGCAGCAATGTTAACAAATTTTTAAAGAAAGTATAAAAAATACCCACATATTGCATACCTTGATGCACAGAGCTAAAGCAGAAATTATGCTTAAACCATTATTCCATTAATTCTCTGCTTATATACTGCGCTGGGAATTTTAAATCCCTCTTCAAATAAGGAAGATGGTGTGCATTATTGAAAGAAAAAACTGCCATGGAAACCCTTCACCTCCAAAAAAAAAATCCCTTGTGAGTAACATTGGATTCCCAAAATAACCCGGGATCCTTTTCTGAAAATGCATTATTGACGCACCTGTGTCTGCTTTTCCAGGGGTATATTTGAAAAGGGGGGTAACCGCACCTGCCTCATGGCAACATTTCATCAGCAGCAATGAGCCACATGAGGCACACCTGAGCTCAGGTGCAGACCAGACCAGAGCAATGCAGGAAAGGATGAATGTGTCTTATGCAGAAAAAAGTAATGAGGGTTTTTGTTGGAGGTAAAAGGGGAAAGAGAATTCCCATGTGATTTTGCGCTGAAGGAAGTGCAGGCAGTTGCATGCCATATGGTCACACTGGGGGGTTGTAATCTTGGCAGCCCGTCAGCCTTACCCACCCCCCCCCCCCGTTGGCGACCCTGAATATACTGCTATAGTGCATCAACACTCGTGAGAGCTGTTCTGAGGAAAAAAAACTTTTTGTTCCAGGCCAGTGCGATTCTGGCAACACGTATACTCAATTTTCTGGAACAGCTAAAGTGTCATTTTCTTCAAAAGCAGTGGTTCAGAATGTAAAAGGCAAATAAAGTAAAATATCCTTACCACAAAGCCACTGTAACAATTATATATATATATATATATATATATATATATACATACATATATTTCTTGAAGAGCATAACATTTTTGTCTTGAAGTATTACATAGCGGCTAAGGGACCAAAAAATGACTTCATTGTAAGCAATTATTTCTTATAACAAGATTTTTAGAAATGATATTCAACTGTAGAACCCAGAAAAAAATGTGTCAAGCAAGCTAGATCCCCTCAAAATAAAACTGATATGCAGTTTCATTGTTTTCATCTGCACATGAATCCGCATTTGAAGGTTAGGAAGATTGTTTCTATTGAGAATTTTGGAAGACTTTATGTACAAATGAGAACAGATTTAAAATTTTGCTAATGAATTACATTGGAGATTGTGATCTTACACACAACAGTGTGACATCAGTCAGATTACAGTTGAACCTTGATAAATTGAACCTTCTGAACTCAAATACCATTTTAGATTTTTTCCAGTCCCTGCCTGAGTTTCCTTAGTAATGAACAAACAATAAATTAATAAGATTGCCAACTTTAAGGATTTCTCTCTCTAACCTTCATATAACTGAAATTTTCTTGAGGCATTTTGGCTATTACTTAATCAACACAGGAGATAGAAAAGCAATATAAAAGTAACAATGTGTTTTGTAAGAAAGGGGAAGACTCATTGGAAAAATGAGCCCATGCCTCCAAGCTGATCCTCTCAAATCATTCAATCTGAATTTTAACCCTTGGAAACAGGGTTCTTCTTCATCCTGTAGATGAGTTGGGATTTTTCTTGGGTGGAGTTGGAATTTTTTTGGAGGGATTTTTCCAGGTTGAGAAGGTCTAAGTTGGGGATAAATTGGGTAGAGGAACTCCCATTTTCTTCAGATATCCCCAATGTTATTCCTATGCTAGGAAAATGCAAGGAAAAAATGTCAACCAGTGAGGATTTTTTTCATGCAAAATTTTATGCAGGAATATGTAAAAATCTTGGATTTTTCTGGACTTGGGCCTTGGTTCAAATATGCATAATTCTTATAATTTTCAGTGCTCACAGGCAAAACTTTTTTTTTAATACCTTGACTTCACCACACAAGGGTTATGGCCCAAACATTCATGCATTTTAGCTTCCTGCAATTATTCACATATTTTTTTCAGCCCAAAATAGGCGTTTTGCTAATTCAAAACCTCCTTAGCTCAATTTTTTGCTGATTCCTTGAAGTTTGACCCAAAGAGGTTTGATTATACAGTAATTTGTTTTTGCAACTTGGGGATCCACTGTACTCACCATAACTTTTCTGTGGTTATAGCCTGGCATATTGAATGTCCCCCAGAAGGACAAGAATACTTCTCCTACATACAAGGCCTTCCCCATGGGCGAACCCAGAGGCACTGAATCAATCCTGGAGGCCTTTGACGTCACCAGCCATCCTTGGCTAAAGAGAGAGAGGGAAGGTAAAGGAGAGGCGTTTCTGGGTTGGAATCAAGGCTGCCCTTTTTTTTCTTTTCTTTTCTCTTTTTTTGCAAGAGGAAATACTTGGAAACAGACAGAGAAATACACTGGCATGCATGCAGGCCTCGGTTATCCTTGCGTGTCTGAAACTATTTTTGAACCGCAGTCCCCTGTTTTCATGGAAGTTTCCAGCCTTGTTAGGATCAATGCTTTTTTTGTGCTTCCCTTTTCTTCACAAAAAAATGGGGCTGTTTTCTCCAGGATTGCCAAAACGCGATTGTGTTGAGTCTTCAAGGACAGTCAAGTTCCAAATGCAATTGAGTATTTCTGTATAGGAACCGCAAATAATTTTCACAACTCAATGCCCACAAAAGCGCATACTTTAATATATAACCGCCAGTATCAATTACAGGTAATTGCTGATTGACAATGAAGAATCTTCTTTCAGAAGCTTAAATAGCAAACACATATGCAGATCATTTTTGTAATTCAAGAATTGGTGAATTGTGAAATTTTCCAAATTTTTGCTGATTTGATATTTATTGTGGGACCTCAATGAACAAAGACAGTTTTGTAAAAAAAAATAGAGATGACATTCCTAGCCATGCAGTCCCAGGCTGATTATTGTGTTCCATTTAATATTGTTTTAAATTTTTGTTGGAGCACCCTTTACAACAGTGTTTCCCAACTTGTGGTCTGCAGGAGGTTTTTGTTGGTCTATGTTGAGGATTCAAGCAGAAAAGAACTCAACACAAAGTAAAGGAGTAATATTAGAAGGAAATTTGGTTAGGTTGAAGAGGAATAAAAATGCGGAATCTGCCCGGGACAAGGCAGGGAATCTCTGGTCAGATTCCAAAGGAAAAGTAATGAATATATTTCTGGTTTTGTACAAAGTCCCAAAAAGACACACAAGAAATTTGTAGAAGGTATTTAAGTTGAATTTTCTCTCAGCAAAACTCTCTTTATGCGGGAAGATGCTCCAAGCAACGACTCTTGACAACTGGTAGTGAGTAGAGGTTGAAATTGAGCTTTTATTAATCATTTGATTTCTCCTTGATCCAGGATGTGGATCAAGGACTGGGGTTGGCGCCAAGGCATCTGATTGGCTTGACAAAGTTGAGTCAAAGACGTCTTGGCACCATGCAGTTTTTGATTTTTTTGGAGGGGGTGAAAAGTTTGTTAGCGCGGATATCTCTGGCGGTTTCTTCTACTTCGGTGGTTTTTCCACTTTATTAATTTCTTCTTGCCGCGTCCAAACATGGATAATTTATTGTTATATTAATATTATATTTGGGTTCCAAACAGTCTATGAATTTTTTTTTGTAAGCATAATACATTTATCAAAAGTAGCTATTCAATTATCTGAAATTTTGGAAAGACCATGGCAGTTCAAATTACTGTATCTTATGATACATAAAAGTTGGCTTTTTTTTAAATAAAAATGCATTAAAATTGTCACCTGTTGAAAGAAAGTATATTATTTTTTTCATTCTGAGAAACCTTTCCTTAAGTCTGCCTTTCTAATTTTGGAAGACATTCCACTGTTGCTTAATTGGTTCTTAGCCCTTGGGTGGCAAAGGGTTCTTTTGCATTGCAGGGTGTTGTCAGGATTTTTTGCAGGCTCCTGCATTTAGGTTAGACTTAAGGTCACAAAATGCATCTTTGGGTGAGTAGTCAGAGTCAGAAAAAAAACAAAAAATAAAGTCATTGTCCTGTTAATCCCCCAATGCTAATCCTATGGCAGGAATGCTGAAAAATGCCACCCAAAGGTGATTTTTTTTCCAGGAATGCTAAAAAATTGGGATTTTCCCCACCTTTGGCTCTTCCAATGATTTTTGTTCCCCCATTTTTTCTACTCATTGGGGCACAACATTTTGTAGATAAATCCTGTCACTGCTGCCAAAGGGTTAAATTGACTGTTGCAACAACAATAAACAGGAGCAGAAATGTTTTCATGTCTGCCATAAGGGCTTTCAAACTAAACTTTTTTGAGTCTGCAAACATTTTATGAAACTTTGCTGGTCTGCAAAAAAATCTTTTTGGAAATTTGCCCCTCTGCAAAAAATTTCATCGAAATTTTCCAGTCCACGGGCCCAAAAAGGTTGGGGGACACTGCTCTACACCAATTGTCAGGCCAGTAACTGACAAAGGGTTTTAGGAAAGGTTAAGAAAGCTCAGCAATGGATTTTGGGCCTCAGAGTGGGAGCCTTACACAACCCTCATCTCTTATTTAGAGGAGGTTGTGCCTCAGCATCCCAGACTCATCACAGGTTCCCAGCATTCCCATCAGCATCACCAAAGATCAGCACACAGACAACAAGATAGGAGACTGACTGCAGATAGACTAAGACTGAGAAATGACTGACACAAGACTTGCAAAAAGACTGATTGAATACTGACTAAAGACTGAGTGACACCAATTATCACATACAGAGGGGTTGATGAGCTTGCCATAGATAATATTGTAATCTTTTATAGTCCTACAATTCTATCCAGACAACCTGGAAAATTTTCCAATAATGAACAGAAAATGGCAACACTGGCATTGCTGTGCGTCACTGGAAACAATTCGGGAGGGACCTCCAAGCTATTTTTTGCCTTAGCCCCAGGAAGGGGTGGGAAGGTCATAAATTATTCCCGACGCAGTCCCTTATCGTCAGGGGAGAAATGAGTGCAGGGCACTCTTAATCATGGCCAAACCCGGCAGCACGTGTCAAGAATAAACCCCTCTTTCCCACTGTGGTTATTTTCGTGGGCTTCCATGCACGCAGCTAGTGCATATATAGAGGAACCAGCAGCAGTGGGTATATCCTTTTCGGGGATCCCTTTTCTCTTATCTGATGCAGAGGTTTCTATTTTTGTGCCTCAGCAAAACTTGTGCTCTTTGAATTCTGGAGAAGAACCTCAGGCAGTTTTGATGCAAGATGCAAAGTAGGTGTTTGAAGTTGAATCAAATTTGATGCATGAGTCTCATATCACTTTCCACTTCAATCTCTAAAGATATATTTTTAGAGCCAGAAAAGCTCTTCTCTTTGTACATTTATTTGAAATGTTTGCTTCAGAATTCTTTTTTTGAAGAACCACTTTCACTGGACTGAGTTTTCCTTTGTGTATGAAAAGGGAAAGGATCTATTTTTGGGTCTGTTATGGAAAATCTGAACCCAGGGAACCTTTTACATTGCTGAGATATAATGTCCCCAGGAATCATTATTCAACATGTATTCTGAGCAATATTTTGAGAAGAAATTGTTCTTTGGGACATAATTTCTCAATGTAAATTTTGACAAGGTTCCCTGGGTATGATTTTCCATTTTGCATTATATTTGAATGGGTTTCTTCTGATCCACAAAATATGGGAACAATACAAATATCATATTTTGAGAAATTGTTGTCTTTTTCTTCAAAAGCCATGCTAGCTACCTAGTATAGTATTTGTGAGCAGCTGTTCTAGGAGCTGTAAACATGTCAAATTTGTCAGTAGAAATGTTTGTGAGCAGGAGCACTTATCCTACCAGATTGCGACTTCACATAGTGAATGGTTAAAATGTTTGACAGTTGAAAAATAGGATGAGAAATAGATGCAGGGATTAAAGAGGGTTCTGATTCAGAAAAAGGTCCCAGGGGCAGTCCCAGGAGATAGCTCTGGTATTCCATGCTGGAGGGATCATGAGCAAGCCTCAGATTTGTGAATGGATGGAGGGTTGGGGTGAGATGACTTGGCAGCTGCGAGGGGAAGATATTGCATGGTTCCCACGAAATACTGGCAGTGATGTGACCAGCATTTTCCCCAGCAAACATCAGAGTACCAACAAAAAACCCCTTTCTCCTTAAAATATGTATTTTAGTATCTTTGCAAAATGCCCTATTTTATGGCAAATATCTATGATTTTTTAGACAGGTAAGTTGAAAAAAATCTGAAGGCTGCAAAATTTTCAAAAAACTTCTGGAGGTTAAACATGTTTTTAAAGACTTTATGACTGGTATTCAAAAAGTTACTGCCTTTTTGCAAAAACTAATTCAAGAAGTATTGAAGCAGCCATGTTGAATATCTTCAAAAGCTTAGAAAGGTGGGCTTGAAGAAAGGTTTCTCAGAATGAAAAATTAAAATATTTTATTTCAGCAGGTGAAATTTTGTCTGAAATGTTATCAGACAAAAAACCAACTCATCATCAATAATTTCAACTGCCATTGTCTTCCCAAAATTTCAGATAAAGATAACAGAATTCATTGCTACTTTTGATCAATTTATTCTGCTGTAGAAAATTTCCCATGGACCAGCAAAAAACATCTGCAGGAAGATGCCAGTCTGCAGTCCACAGATTTGGAAATGCTGACCTACATTATGATCAAAAATTTGTTTCTTGAACTTTCCAATAACTGTGGCAATGCAAAAAAAGTACCCCAATGAGGCTGAATGAACTCTAGAGATTCAAGATTTTTACCAGTTTTCAGCACTTTTACTGATTTATATTCATGCATTGTATTTTCAGTATATCACAGTGTAATATTAGTGGAAAACACTGAAAAACTCAGATAAAGGAACACATTCATTACACAGTGAAGCAAGTGTTTTGCTCTCAAGTACAAAAAAGGCTTTATATTAAAATGTAGAATGTTGGTGGAAAATAGTTTAACATAAATAAAATAAAATAAATTCCCTATAACTGTAATTTAAATTCCTGAAATGCAGATTGGAAATAAGGAAATTCAAAGAAAATTCCATTTTGCAGAAATTTCAAGATCCCACGAAATTTTTAGGTCATTTTAAATGTAAATACTGTATATGCATTACATCTAGATTTTGAGCTAATTTCAAGGGAAAAGGCTGTAAAACCCAAAAAAAAATGCGAATTTATTTTTTGTGCAAATATGCTCTAGTATTTAGCTCCAGGATAAGCCTATTTCTTCAGAAAATTTAGCCAAGAAAAAATAATTTAAGCATTTTTACCTTCAAAAGCAACTTGCATCCATTCCATTGACAATAGACATGCTTTTCACAACAAAATTCAAAGCTAGGTCCACTATACACCCAACAGAAAAAATTGGCCTTAGCCCGAGTTTATCAGGTCAAAGTGTTCCTCATGCCATGTGTCCATAATACCTTACGTGTACATTATATGTACTCGTAATATGTCGTAATGAGTCTCATCCATAAGTGATGTAACAGAGGATTATCACAATACAAAACCCAAGGCGGTTTTGTCTGCAGTCCATCTCACACCACTCGTCTGTCACATCCCAATTCAGCACTATATCAAGGATTTGCGTGGGCGGTGAACGCCATGTTACCCCCCCCCCCCCCCTGCAGCATCCAGTATCCCGAAAAGGATCCCCCAATTGATCCCTCGGAGGAATCCTCAAATGGATCTTCAGGGCGTACCCTGGAAGGGAGTGAATGTCACCTCCCCCAGGAAGACCCGCAGTTTCATTCAGAAATCCCAATAGCTTCGACTACAGGGTGCTATCATAAAAAAAATTCTGGAATCCAGCTAGTTTTTTAAGGACACCACGATCATCACTGAAAGTTGTATGCATATTTTTGTTGTTGTTGGCAGATATCCTACATTTTCAGATACTTGAAATTATAAAATGTTGCATCAAAGAAACTTGTAATAAATAAAATTCGCTAAATATTGCGCAAGTGTTTGAAAAATTGACGCATTTCTCTGATATTGTATTGACCTATGAAATGAGCTGATGATCACTGCTGCGAAAAAACATTTTTAATTCGATAAAATACAGAAATATTCGAATTGAAAGATAAAATCCAACATTAAATTTTATAAATCTAAAGCATCGTCATGGTAATTTATTCTCAACTTACAAGCTTGATGCTTCGGTTGAAAAAGTTTTCTAAATCTGAAAAAAACTGGAAATCGCAAGAAAACTTCAACTTAATTATAATCAAAATTTTTCAATTATTCAGATTTTCACAGATGAAAGTTTCAAGGATAAGAAAGCAAACACTGTAGTTTTTGGGTTTTAAAGCCATTTACAAATGCCTTATAATCTTTTGCTTGAAAAAAAAGTTCAGCCGCTTCTGCAAACAAACAAACAAAAAAGAAAAAATCCTCGCTCTCCAAACTTATGAAATTTTCAAATTAAATTAAATTTAAAATTAATTCTGAAGTAAAATCAGTGAGAATTCTCCTATTGGTAACAGACATGTTCTCCCATTCAAACAAGCCCAGAAAACAAATAAATTCAAAGAAAATGGAGAAATAAACATTCACCCTCTGAATATCCCATCAAAAACTAGGAAAAAGTATCATTGTAAAAATGGTGGAGACGATTTTTCAACTTGGACAAAATTTTCATTTCCTCAACCAAATTCTTCATGCCTCCCTTTCACAAAAATTCGAATATTCCGCCACATTTTCCAAAAACCACAAACAAACAAATAACAATATATAAGCTCTCCTCCTCCTCATAAAAAAAGCATTTCAAGAATATTATTGGAGCATAATATAAATTCCAAGTGCTAATATATATATTTATAGGCAGGGTATTCTGAGAAATCATTAAGAACAGGGGGGGGGGGG